ATACATATGAGAAAAACACGTCACTATGTGAATGAATAAGAACAAATTTAAATGCTATATAAAAATAATATGTTTTTATATGGGAAATTAATGTAGACGGATAAAACATAATGAAAAGGCAAAAACGAGAAAACTTTCTTAGCGGAACATAGCAACGATTATAGCAGTATATAACAAGAATGTGTCTAATAAGTCCACTTGTGGAGCGAGAAAGTGTTCACTAAAAGAATATAGAGTGTCTGTACATGGAGACTTAGATGACCTCAACAACAACTTTATTAAAGTTTTACAACCAAACTGTTACAAAGAGTGACTTACACAATAATCTGGAGCATTTTACTTCTATTGGTAAAACAGTTCCTGGTTGAAGTACTCCAGCTTGTCTGGCCAAAAAAAAAACAGCACTTAGTGAATTAAATACTCTGTTACTTCAGAATGATGTGCCTCCATCTTCTCTCATTCAACCACGATAGATAAATATACCGACAAATCTGTATGCAAACCGAAAGGCCCAACCAAAACGCATGAACAAGCACCACGAAACCGAATTTCATTACGAACGAACAGAGTCAATAGTTCCAATACTTCAACTTCGTTGACATTTATACGACGAGAGGCTAACTTTGTTGCACCTGTTCCCCAAATCATCATCTTCAAATTAATCAAACCTTTTGTATCGAAAACGTCGTCGCTCTTTTTGTCTTTGAGAAAACAGAGTCCACATGACATTTGAACAACGTCAACAAAGCCAAAATCGACTAAGTTTCAGACAGTTACAGATTTTTCTATCGAAACTTCAACAAGTGAAACTTATCTTTTTATGAGATTTCTACAGATCTTTTGGTGGTTCGCCAAATAATAAACTATGGAGTTTCTATGAGTTATTGCCATTAATAAACGATCTTACTACTTTTAGTTATTGTTTTTCTTGTCCCAATTCAACCACGATAAGATTGAACTGAGCGATAAAGTCAACGATCCAAAAGAATGGACGAATAAGTGCCACGAATCCAATACCTGTATGAATGGACTAAAACCAAAGTTCCAACACACGAGCTTCATTAAGTGATATCAAAATGATAAATATCCTGAGGTCTTCTTAGTTATCAATCTGATGTTTTTAAGCAAGATACGATATAATTACCTTTATTTGGATATCTGTAGGTTCAGTTCCTAGTTATAATGAAATTAAGACTTAAAGTTGACAAATAGGATGGGTAAATATCTTATATGATTTGCGATAGGGTTGCTTATGCCCTTTATACTTCGAAAAACAGACTAACACACTGTGTACTATAGAATGAAATTATAATGTTTTAGGTATGTGGTTTTGAGTCGATGGATGTGTTATGTCCTTAGCTATATGATTATTGCGAAATACTATTGCCAATTTAGATTCGTTGACTTATACAACCGAACTAATGACTCATACACAAGTACGGGCAGTCCACAGTTCCGATTGATCATTTTTCTGCCTAGCCCTGCCTGTTAAGTCCAGAACGCCAATCTCAGCCTCCGTTATATCGAATCTTATATTTCCAGCATACTTGGTATATATACAAGCAAAATCAGGCCACATCATACCATAGTATAAAAAATAACATTTATACAAGATCAAGCCAAAAGTGGCTGTGATTGTCAGAAACTGCGACTAGTAGATTGAAAGTAAATTGAGAATAGCAAATCATATAACAATAACCAATAGATCAAATAAAAGCTTATAACGAAAGGAATCTGAATATACATATAATTACTTGATAGTTATACAATAAGAATATTCGTTAATATTAGTCGATAAATAATTACCAGCGGTTACCATTCATTTATTCTCGTCTGGATATAACGGCATGTGTACATTAAAAGTCAGGATCAAACGCCACACTAATTTGTGCCATGTGATATATATTTGTATTAGTTACCTGATTTTTCTATTAGATTAGAATTATAGAAAGCCAGGATAACAGATTCTTAATTAATCGCCCAATCTAGATTTATCAGCTCCTACTAATAATCCGACTGTGTTAAGAAGTACCTAATTAAATTTCCACCCCACTCATTATTATTCCTTTTTGAATTATATGTAACAGTGACATCTACGACTGATTTACAAATCTGACGGTAGTTTAAATATGATTAGGCCATATAGCTCAATTTGTTTGGATAGTCATAAATAACTCCATAAAAAAGTCAACATCACCTACAAAATCTTTCAATGTAGGAGTATTCATGTCCGAATTGAGAACAAAATATAGTTCAATTAGTTATTATTGATAATTGAACCAGATCAAATGAACGAATAATGACATAGAAAGTGATAAAGATTGTTTGATTATGATTGTTTAAATTAATAATAATAAGAAGAAAAACAAATATCATTCATACTTTTGTTGGCTATTCGTGTTGACTCGTAGTTCCAACCATAAATTCTAAAATCACCAAACATGAAACTAACTACAAATAGGACTACAAACATAGAGATGTTGGCTTCAACAGATGAGAAGTTAGTATGATTTGTGGTGGATCAAAGTGTAAATATGTAGTGTCAGTTACTAAGTTAAGCCCATATACCTCATTCTAGCTTTCGGATATCCCATTCTATTCATTCTACTCGAGCCATACTTTGACCTTGTTATTAATTCGCTTATCAATCTAGACTTTTTTTATATGAGCGTATATGTGTGTACACTTTATGTCTCATGATTCATCACATGGCTGTAGTTTATTTTGTCTGCCTATAAATATTGAGTAACGCTTAATAAAAATGGAGTTGGCTTCCCAGCCGTCCTCCCTGTGCGTCATTTTGCTTGGCTCTGTTTCATTCACTTCATATACAAAATATATGTATTCACAAATCAATTCTCGTTATTCGACTTATTTAATTCCGTTATTGGCTAACGCGATTAAGTCAACGATTATATACGAGAATAGGTGATAGCAAACATTTATACGATCTTGGAGTCAGATCAAACGGGCCACTAAAAATATTTTGGCAATAGTAATATTATCCGAAAGCAAACATATAAAAATGGTCTAATTTAAGCTAGACCGCCATGGAAAACCTGGAAGCACTGGATGGCCGTTTCGTTCTATTGTGAAACTCCTCAACAGTGTTCATTTACGATCCCGCCTTGCGAGACTCGAGCCCAGGAACTATCAGTCTAACACGTGAACGCTTAACCACTAGACAACTAAGTTGGCATCCATCGGCGTTAATGTCTAACTTCAACTAATCCACGAAATTGAGTGACACATTCACCATTGTCTTCAGTGAGTTACTATCTCACAACAGACCCGGTTAAACTCCACTGGTCACTGCTTCCAACTAGAACTAGCTTCAATCGACCCATGAATTGAACTATTAAATTACTATAATATCCACGAAACCCCTCCTGATATAAAAATGAATTGATAATATGTAAAATGAATATATATCTTTATATGTAGGCTATACAACAGTTATTTGCAAATTATCGGTGGCTGGGTGATCAAGAGATCTTAAAAGTAAGGTCATAATTGTAATAAACAATTGATGGTTCGCAAATACTGGATATACTCTAAAATAATGATGCATGATTGACTGAATGATAATGAAAGTCATAATCTATAAATATATGTAACGGTTATATTAATAAAATGTGTTATATAACAGCGAATCGAGTGATGAAACGAGATGCTGCTATACTCCGGTCACGAAGAGGAAAATACCCCACACACTAAGGGAGTTGCTTAGATGCTGTCCAAAAAATTACAAAATACGCTTATAGGATGGGAATCTGATGGATATAGAATCATCAGAGTATCCTTCAAAATAAAGAAGAACAGAATCACAATGAATGTTATTCAATGTTATGCACCCGCCTATGATAGCAAAAACGATGAGAATTATCAATTATATGAGAGGCTGCAATTAATCATAGCATAGTGTTCAGGAAGCAATCTGACCATCCCGATGAGAGACCTAAACGCCAAAGTCGGAGTAGACAACACTGGGTATAAAGATATCATAGGACGACATGGACTGGGGATGTGTCGCTGAATTTCGTGGATTAGTTGAAGTTAGATATTAACACCGTTGGATGCCAGTCGGCTCGGTGTTCTCGAGGTTAAGCGTTCGAATCTCAAAAGGTGGGATGGTGGATGTACACTGCTGAGGAGTCCCACAACAGAACAAAACGGCCATCTAGGTTTTCCATCGTGATCTAGCTTCAATTCACTCATAATCTTAACTCTTGAAATTATTACAATCTTCACAAAACTTCTGATACTAAACAAAAAATCATAATTATTATTCAATATCATCCTTAAAATCTATTGGAAATTATCACAAATTTCTTTTCCATAAGGATATAACTCATTTGAAAACACATTTGTTTGTTTGTTTATTTTTCCTACATTAACCTATTCTATCTATAAAAATAAGATTAGTGTTTAATTAATCTTAAGGAGAAGAAAAGAAAAATACTGAGAAATAAATGGTTTAATAATTAAAATAACCCATAGTATCATTGTGAATAAGAAAAATAGAATTCAACGAAGAAAATTGTCTTTTCGACAAAATCATTTACTTAAGCTATACATTCGTCTATATAGTTATATATGAAAAATATATGTGTCTATAGGAGAATAGAAAAAATTTTGCATCATAAAAATGGATTCGAGAATAAATAACAAATGAGGTTACGTATTAAATCATAACTATTAATATATATATATATATATATATATATTCAATGATGTAAATAACAACCAATCAGATTAAAATACTTTTCTCCCTTCCTCCCTCTCTCTCTTTCTTTCTCACATTATGAATGAACTGTTAAGAAATATTTATCTGTTTTTTTCTAAGAGAAAAAACCTGATTGGTTAATTGATTTGATTAAAAAGAAAATCTAAAATGAGGAAAGTTTATTACTATCTGAATTGTTTATTTATTTATTTAGTATCCTTTCCCACCCCCTTTCAGTATTAGTTAACCATTATTATTTTTAATTGTAATAATAATGAATTCATTTATGGTTTCTTCAATTATGAATTCAAATACAAATGAAATTTATAATATAAATAATAAATATTGGAATATATTAAATTTATCTAATTTTATATTAAATAATGAACCATTAAATAATACAATTATCAATAATAATTATAAATTAAATTTAAAACAAAATTTCAATTTATTTAATCAAATAAATGATAATGAATTCATTTTAAATTATCAAAATTATTTAAATTTATTTATAAATCAATATAAACAAAATGATTTATTATATAATAAATCAATAATCAATCATCAATTATTATATAATAAAAATATATATACAATAGAAAAATTGAATAATAATAATAATAATAATAATAATAATAATAATAATAATAATGAAATCAATATAAATAAAGAATATTTGAATAGAGGTAAGTGTATTGAATAATATTGATATGATTAATTTTCTTGAAATTGATTGAAATGAATTTAGTCTAATGAATGAATCAAATGAAAAATAGATCATATATGTGGATATATGTATGAGTAGGTGAATGTATGTTACGATTGGGGATAGTCAGTTGAAAATGTGTTTTTTTCTTTCTCTCTCTTTCTAAAATCATTGAATTTTAAAATGTGGATCATTTATGGTACTCGATGTGATAGATGATGTTAATGATTTTACCTCTCTGTATGTATATTATAGATCGTTGGTGTTGGTAGAATTTTTTTAGTCAGAATGAAAACATGTATTATACAATGATTTTTAGTAATCTATATTTGTTGTTGTGAGATAGTAACTCACTGAAGACAATGGTGGATGTGTCACTCAATTTCGTGAATTAGTTGAAGTTAGACATTAACACCATTGGATACTAGCTTAGTGGTCTAGTGGTTAAGTGCTCACGCGCGAAACCAGTAGGTCCTGCGTTTGAATCTCGCAGGGGGCGAGGTCGTGGATGCGCACTGCTGAAGAGTCCCACAGTGGGACGAGACAGCCGTCCAGTGCTTCCAGGTTTCCCATGGTAGTCTAGCTTCAAAAGACTCATGATTTCAACCATTAAAATTACTATAATATCCACAAAACCCATCTGATATTCTATATTTCTTCAATTATTGTAGAGCTAGTGACGAAAATGAACTAAAAATCGGAATTTTCTCACATTTCTTTAAAGATTAGTTTGGATTATTTAAAATGATATTTGCTTAACTGATTACTAGATTATCTTATATTTCGTCAATGATTTGCACTAGAATAAAATTTCATATTATTATGCTTCAGGAACCGACCTTAGAAATCGAATATGAAACCTGTAGTTAGGATCTAGTAACTTGTCTTTCTAACTTTCAATCAACTTAAAATATTCCGCAACTATCAACGCGGTTATTTAATAATTTCGACAAAGCTATCTATAATATAAAAAGAGACAGAAATCAGTGGGATTACATATTCTGTCTAACTTGTTTTTCGATGAGACGAAACTATAATTTAAAGCTTAGTTTTTTTATCATGTTCTGAAGTCATTTGAATAGTTTGATGATGCTTCCTAAAGTAGGATTCTGTCCTCGGTAAAATAACCATGTAATCACTTATCCAAGTGAAATTATACTGTATTTTACCATTTCGAATGTTACACATTTTATGTTCATTACCAGTAAACTATTCCTTTATGGTATGAATAATCAGTGCGCACGAATAACTCAATTTTCTTTTCAGGATAAAGATCATGTTTTATTCAAATTATTATATACACCCTCCCACATCAGTGGACACTTTCTCACATCTTTCTCCTTTGTACTCTACGAACCTGTCGTCGAACAATATTAATATTTTAAAGAATTATGTAACCGATTATCATTGTTTTAAAATGAATATGAAAGTCAATATTTACACTTGACTGGTCATCGAGTGGTGACTAATGTCATGTGTGTCAGATCCTTGTTAGTGCAGATCGAATTCTATCGACCAAGTTGCAATATAGTTGCTAGTCTAGGTAACTTCATCATCATCATGTGCACTATGTTGAGATGTAAGGTGGAGGTTGAATATAATGAACAACCACTAACTTATATAAAAACCAATAATTTGTGCAATCATTACCTTTTTAATAACAATGAGCTCAAGGAATCCCGTTCACATTCAAGTTCAAACTTAGTTCAAAGTCAGAAACAATTTCTTTTACAACATTCTATATCTTCATATATTTAGTGTAAAATAAATACATGAATTCTAATAAATTTATCTTTCGTTTCTCCCAGGGGGTAAATGATTAGTAAAATATGTCAACAAATGTAATGCTTCAATATTTTACATCTCAGTAATTTGTAAGCGTTTCATAATATCATATAGTCGTCTACAATTAAAATTCATAATTATTCAATTTGAACAAATCTAACTCGGGAATGTTTATTGTACATGATAATGATCATGTTCATGATCTCAATCAAAAATTTAATAATCTCCACAACCCTCTCTACGAATAATTACCATGTGCTCACTAGTGACTAGCTTCGTGAGGGACTTTTCGTAGTTCTAATGCGAAGCCATGAAGAATGGAGCTAATCCATATCGGCTAGAGACAGGTATCTACCTCAGTATAATGGAAGATGATCGCGCAATTTCATGGATTGGTTGAGATCAGACATTAACACCATTGGATGCCGACTTAGTGATCCAGTAATTTAAGCGTTCTTGCACGAGACTGCTAGGTCCTGAGTTTGAATCCCGCCAACGAGATCGTTGATTCTCACTGCTAAGGGATTCCACAATAGGACGAAACGGCCTCTCAATGCTTCTAGGTTTTCCATAGTAGTCTAGCTTCAATCGACTCATGATTTCAACTATTGAAATTACTAATATCTCTACAAAACTCCTTCTGATAATAATTTATGTATATTAATTTTATTTTAATTTTACAGATTTAAATAGATTTCAATCAACATCTAATTTATCTAATTTTATTGATTCATCTTCTGAGTTATCATTAAATAATCATGATCAAAATCACAATAATATTGAATATTTAAATAATAAACAGAATGATTTAAATCAATTAAAGAAAATCAATAAACAAAATAATAATCATCATCATAATTATTCTAGAAATCGTACAGCATTTACAGATTATCAATTAATTTGTTTAGAACGTGAATTTTCTCACATTCAATATTTATCACGTATTGATCGTATTCATTTAGCGCAAAATTTAAATTTAACTGAAAAACAAGTGAAAATATGGTTTCAAAATCGTCGTGTACGTTGGAGAAAAAGAAATTCATTATAAATTTGAAAGAATCAATAGAAAAGAAATTCATAAACTTTGGCACCTTTTTTTCGCTTCTTTTTCTTCTTATTCTTCTTCTTGTTCTTCTTCTTTTATTTTTGTTTTTGTTTTTAATATTTTCTATCTTTTTCTTTTTCAATTGTCAATAATGATGAACACGTAAATTGAAATGAATTTTAGAATAAATTTTGATTGTATCAAGGAATAATGATTAATTATTGTTTATTTTTGTAATAAACGTTGATGTTTTACTTTTTCTACGAATAAATTTTGAAGAAAATTGCTTGATATTGACTTTTTTTTCTTCTTTAGAAAAAAAGTTGTAGAGAACTGAATTCAATGGAATGTACTTCGAAATTTTGTATATACACTTGTGATGATATCTGATTTAGTCAATGTTAAACGCTTTCTAACCTTTAATTAAAGCAGTGATGTAAAAATGAGAATGTACAGAAAGCTTTATGTCAAAAAATCGAGTGAATTTGTAGAGAATTCATTTGTTCGGATATAGATTATACTGGAGTGATCTAGGAGAAAAAAGAAACTATATGGTCAACAATCTTACGTAGATGAATAACTTGCCAACATAAAACAGCTTAGTCATTCTTGTATTCTTGTATACTTTTATGTGACTTTGAGATAGTATGTGATTTGTCTAAAATCGTCTGGTTTATCATCTCTTGATTGATAATACTGATTAGACGCATTAATAAGTTACTTAAAATTCTTTGGATTTTTGAGGAAAAGTTCAAAGACATATAAGATGTTTACTTGTTGTGTTACATTCATCTATATGAGACTATCCCTTTTTCAGTTATCTTAGGTCAGTCCACAGAAAAATCACATTATTAAACATTGTTCACAAAATCTATGTCAATATGACAATCATATACCCATTAGTTGGTAGCTAAGATATTTTGTTGAAAAGCTATCATTGGCACAATTCAACCATGTACGACCAGTGGAGTCCAATCCGTGTCGTGTAGAGTCATGTATCTACCTCGGACAATCAATGAATTATTGCGCAACATCATGGATCGATTGAAGTTAGACATTAACACCTTTGAGTTTCGGCTCAGTGGTCTAGAGGTTAAGCGTTTGCGCGCGAAACTGAAGGCCTAGGGTTCGAGTCCCTCATGTAGAATTGTGGATGCGCACTACTGAGAAGTTCTATACTAGGACGAAACAGCCGTTCAGTGGTTCCGAGTTTTTCTTATGGTCTAGCATAGATCGACTCATAAATTCAACCATTAAAATGACTACAATCACAAAACCCTATTATGATGTAGGAAATAAGACAACTATCAATGTTTCCAATGTATGATCTCTGTATTATCAAGTGAATCTCTTGACGTTGGAAATAGGATTACGACTCAATGTACTCGATGGTGAAAATATACATGTGATTGGCTTATCTGGGGTGAGTAATACTAACGAGTCACAGAACTGAATGAAATCGGTATTCATTGCTTCTTAATCTTCAACAGCTTTTCAAAGGATATCAATGTGTAAAGAGAATTCATTTTGAAAATTAAAAAAGTTCTGTACAATTTTCATATTGTCAATAATGAAAACACCGTATACTACATGGATCTAATCTCCAAAATAAAATCACCCTGTAGGCATTTTTATTCTTTGCAAATAGCAAAAGAAACACTAACATATTTCTCCGTACGTAACTAAATTTACTGTAGAATTAAAATGCTAATACAATGGATTAATTCATATGTGAATATATTTGCATTAGGTGATGTGTGTGTGTATGTAAATGATCATTTTTATTAAAAGTAAACAAATTATAAATAAAAGCAATAATAAAACAATCGAGTTTTCATGTTACTTTCCATTGTAACTAATCTGGTCATTCTATTTCTTCACCTACCCCCCCCCTCTGAACCACTACTGTCCGGATCATGAAACTAAACTTCTATGACTAAGTTTTCTTAATTTTTTTAGTGATCATCAAAGCAAAGAAATTTCACATAGATGAAAGTTTTGATAGAAATTAAGAAGAAGCCGAGAAAATACGCTTACCCCCTCTCCCTTCACTACACTTCAATAAAAATTTGAAAAAAAATAAATAAATCGCTTGAAAAAGTAAGTACAAAGGGAACTCACTAAAAAAAGTTTTTTTTTAATAAATAAAAAGCTGAAAAGAATCATTGAAATAGACAATTGAACAAACATCATAATTGGATGACTAAACAAATGCGTAGGTGGATTCATACACACGGGTATGTATGTGTGTATATGTGTGTTTCCGTTTATGTGTAGAATTAAACAGACATCATCATTTGATTGGTTGACAACTATTAAGATGAATTCAGTAGTTCACTTGTGATCCAACTAGAACAATGTGTAAATAAGTTAGTGTTTATTCATTTGTAGTTTCTTTAATATTTCAAGTGAAATGGATTATTAAAGAAAATAATAATAATACAAAACAACTACGAAATCGTATATCCATTTTCTTTTTTCAATCAATAGATCGCCTATTATGGCTAAAGCTATGATGAGAGAATACTTTTTTTTGGTATATTTAGTAACCAAGTCTTTGTAAATGGTGATAGAAACTTAAAGAGGAAATACCCATGATACTGGTAAATAATAAACATTGAATCAATGAATGAAATTATTAAACACATAATTTTGTTTTCATTACATTTTCTCTTCTTTTTTTGAATCATTTATTTCTATGGTTAAACACATTTTCAATATGGTTACAATAAACATTGAAGAATAAGACAAGTTTATAGTTAGTTGAGCAAGAGAATACAAGAAAATTCATAACTTTCTGTATGTATACAAGAACTATATGCAGATAATTATTTTATTAAATAATAATAATAATATAATAATAATAATTTCACAATCTTTCGGAATAAATCATCTTCGAATTGTTTAGTTAACTAACAAACTTTTTTAGTGGGAATTTAAAACTTCCTTGAATTGATCAACACCTTTTAGATTGATGTAAAAAAAACAACACAAGTATGTAAAACACACTTAAAGTAAGCTGATGATTGGAGGTAGTCGATAAGAAACCCTGGACCTAGGTTTCTTGCTATTTGGTATTCATCATTAAGGTGTACCTGTAATCTTGAGAAAACTGATGCACCCTAGAGGATTCAATCTTGTTTCACCCAGCTTCAAAGTTCTCAACAGTATCATTGAGTCATTTGGATTGAGATTGGCCTTTTGTAGGAATGAGATGTATTTACAATTGACTAATCACTGGGTAGTGACAAATCTTTGTTAGTACTGATCGAATTCTACTGATCAAGTTGTAATGTGGCCAGTAATTGACTTGAGATCATGTGCAGCATATTGAGATGTAAGGTGATGAATGACGGCATATAACATTGGTTACAACTCAGAGAACATTTACATTTCTATAGTGCTCATCAAGTTTATGAATTATAATAAATGTAAGCGATGATAGTTGCTTGTAAAATATAATATTAATGACTTTATTATCATTAACAACAGTATGGATAAATTCAATGTAAGTTCTAGTATGGATGATATAAAATATTAAAGATTATTGAAGATATATCTCTTATCTTTAATGAAAAATTGGATTTGTTTTAGAACAAATACGAACTTTGAATATATACTAGATCCTATTTCTATCTATCTATTCTTTCAAATTCATCCATTACATTAAATAATCAGTTATGTAATCATTTATTCCGTATCATAAAATTCACATGATCACTTCTCTTCAATATATGAATTCTATTGTGTTATGATTTAATGTTAACATTCATGTGACAGTATCACCGGTAAGAACAACGATTTATACGGTCTTGGCCCTGTGTCAAACTAATGTCACTTTAACTAGCACGAGAAACCTAGTTAGTTATTAGTTCTTCCAACCTAGCCCTGTCAATTGAGTGTAAAACACAAAGCTCAGCTTCCACTGTATGAATCATGTATTTCAGACAAACTCAGTTTATATACAAGCAAATCAAACCTCATCATAGCATAAAATAGAAAATAACAATTATACAAGATCAAGTCAAAAAGTGGCTATGAATGTGAGATACTGTAACTAATAGACTGAGAATGATTTAAAAATAGTAAATCGAATAATAATAATAGTCAGTAGGTCAAATGGAAGTTTTTAATAAAAGAAATATGGATATACATATAATCTAGTTACTTAATATTCATCCAATAAGAGTATATGTAATAATAGTTCATAAATCATTCCTAACAGTTACCATCCATTTATTCTTTGTTAGGATATAACAAATTGATTGAAACAATTCATCCTGCTTTGTTTTATAAGGATATCTTCATACTTACGTCAATTCATGTTTATATATATAAAAGGATCTCTTTTGAACAAATTTATTATCATGTTATATAATATATACGATGTATTACAAGTGATATATATTCATTTGAGTACTTCCCCCTAATTCACTATACAACCATATCTGATTTATTTCTATTCTTTATCACTATTACTAGTTATTATCATATCAGTTGAATAATCAAAGGTGATCGAAATACAATGAATTTTTCTTTTCACCTTAATCATATTAATCCGTTAATTAAATACTCTTTTGTTTTCTCTCTTTTTTCTTTCTTTTTAAAGACGATCACATCGATAATTAGTAATCTATGAACATGGATTCATAAATTGATCAAAGTTATTTTTCTAGTTTAATGATTTCCAAATGGAAAATAAATAGACAATCACTTTTTCTTATATCAAAGTATTAAAATAAATAGGAATAGTTTTAATACACTTGAAAATTCATTCATTCATGTTTAAATGTTGTCTTTTTTGTCTTGTTATTGAAAATAATTAGTTCCTTACAAATATGGTTTTATTATATGTTATGCATGGAAATACTCATGTATGTGTATGTGTGTGTGTGTGTGTGCTCATGTGTATATAGTGGTATATTCAATTTAATACACATTGTAAGTACTTTCTATTCGATTGAGTTTGAAACTTTCAAATTACATATTAAACGCAAATATCT